CTATACGAAACAATAATGATATGTCACCACAGTTAATACACTGAAGTATTCACTTGGATTTAAATAACCTAGTGTGTCTGGTTAGTCAGTCTTATTACTATAAAGATATATGGAGCGTAAAGATCGCAGTTCAAATGCTGTTGCTGACACCAGCTCTTTGACCATAGTGAGTTACTCTCCGTCTTGGTTCGTTTATCTACGAGATGGGGGTAACAATACCTCATAGAATTGTTCTGAGGAATAAATTAGGTGGCACATATGTACAAGTGCTTCCTCTAGTGACCAGGTCACATCAGGCACTCCAGAAAGTTAATGTTGGTTTGAGACCATGCTACAGGTATTCAGGGTGAGGTGAACAATCACTGTAGGCTCAGCAAAGACTGAGTAGGGCAGATAGCCCCAAGGCTGGAACCTAAACAGGAGGGAGATTTACAAAGAGAGAGCATAGACCAATGCTTCTCAAACGTTAACATGGATTCCAATTGCCCCGGGTTGTTGGGTTGCAGCAAGAGGTCTGGAGCGGGGCCTGTTGTGATGTCCCATCTGTGCTGCAGTGAGGCCACACTTAGACTAGAAGGGACACAGGTCACAGGCAAATAGAATGCAGTGATGAAAGCACATCTAATAATAAAAGTGGAAACAAAAACCGATCAGGTTCTGGCTGTGAAGTTCATATTCTCAACCATAAGGTATACATAAATGGCCTCTGATTTGTGGTATTTTTATTATAGTTACTTTCTAGATATTTACCTCTTTTTTTCCCCTTGACCTATCAAAAAACAAAAAACCCTCCAAGTTATTAGATATTTCTTTGGTTTTAATTAACTTTTAATTTTGGAATTTGAGATTCTTTGTGGCATGATAGCTAATTTCTGTACATTTACAGAATGTACAGATCCAGGGTTGCTTGAAAAGGTATATTCTATTTCAAGGACAGAGGATTTAACATGTATCTATTAGATTTGCCATATTTGATCCCTGACATACTTTTATCAATAACTATTTGCAGGCTGGTTTTTATGTCCACAATCTCATCACTTCTTTGGGCTCTTTTTCGGAGTTCTTTCATTTCGTTGAGTATGAAGAATGTCTGACATCTGCTTTCCTTGAATATTCTTTTGACATATTCTTGACTGGCTTTTGCTTATTCTGTTCCTTTGGAGGGGGTGGATATGGGGGTAGGAAGGGTGCAGTTGGGTTGTGGGGACTATCCAGTTTTGCTGGTTCCTTTTTACCCATTAGTCACCTTCCGGTGATGGCAATTCTATCCAGGCCCTCTATTTACAATATACAGGACATGGTAAGGGAAATTGGCTATCTGAGCAGCTGACAGCTTTAATTTGGATTTCAGAATACACTCTTACCAAGGGGTGGGTGTAGGAGGGGAGTACATCCACACTCAGTTTTTGCATCATCTCCTGCAGAGCAAGAGATCAGAATGGCTCACAGTAAAGCCTTTGTCATGGATTTTCTGGAGATCCAGCTGGTGTTTCTCTAGGCTGAATTGAGTCACCAACTGCAAGGGGTTGTGCAGCTGTGCTTCCCCTTGGCCATTTCTCACTTTCAGATCAATTCTCTCTCCATCTGGAGGCTGAAATGCAGAAAGGGTAGTGATTCCATGAAATTTCTCATTTCCAGTACTTGTCATGGGTCTAACCAAGCCTCATGATCATCTTGCCTCTCCTGCCACAGGTTTTTTAAAATGGACTCTGCAGAGAGGTAACTATTTTAGAGCATTCTTTCTTGAGCCCTTCTTTCGTGATGCTCTTGGAATTCACCTTTAGTCCAAAAATATTTGACAGATACTCTTCATAATCTGTGGTATACATTTATGGCTATTTCTTTACCTGACTGAATATGAAATTTTCTATTTATTTCAATCCTTTTGTTTTCAACAGTTGCAGTGGCATAGAAAGAAGAGTCTCCTGGTTTTAAAAGGTGGGGTAAGAATCCATCAAGGTCATATCTTAGGTACTCAGAAAAACAATGGCATTTCTACAGTGTTAATCAAGTTGGACCACTTAAAAGGGTAAGCTAAAGTTTAACAGGCCATAAGCAGAAGGTGAAGCAAGAAGGGATAGGGCTTAGTCTTAGATTCAGGTTTGGATAGGATTACAGACCAAGATACAATAAGTAAGAATCAAAACAGGATGGTAGCGTGGAGAAATTGGAACTCTTTTGTTCTGTTGGTAGGAATGTGGAATGGCACAGCCACTGTGGAAAACAATATGAAGGTCCCTCAAAAATTTTAAAATAGCATTACCTCCTGATCCAGCAATTTCACTTCTGGGTATATACCCAAAATAATGGAAAGCAGAGCCTCAAATAAATATTTACAACATCCATGTTCAGAAGCATTAGTCACAATAGTAAAACGTAAAGGCAACTCAAGTGTCCACTGACAGATGGACAAGTAAAATGTGGAACATACACACATACATACAGTGGAGCGTCATTCAGCCTTAAGGGAAAAAAAGGAAAGTCTGACACATGCTACAACATGGACAAATATTGAAGACATTATACTAAGAGTAAGTTAGTCACAAAAGACAAATATTGTATGACTCCACTTATATGAGGTACTTAGAGGAGTTACATCATACAAAGGAGAATGGCAGTTCCTAGTGCTGGGAGAGAGAGGAATGGGGAATTATTGTTTCATGGGGATAGTTTCACTTTTGCAAGAAGAGTTATGGAGATTGATGGTGGTGATGGTTGTGCACTATAAATGTATTTAATACCACTGAACTGTGCAGTTAAAAATGGTTAAGATGACAAGTTTTATGATGTGTCTTTTAGCACAAAAAACAAAAACAAAAACAAAACCCTGGAAAAAGCCACAACAGGTTCAGTGGGCAAGATGAACTACGATTTGGGCAATGAAGCAGAGTTCAGGGATTTAAGAAACTTCTAAAGGCGGATACTGTAAGAGGATGGCAACATAGTTTGGATACTCCTACCTCTGCCCTAAAGCAGTAAACATAAAATATATACCCTAATACATATATTAACTCTCAGTTCCCCATGTATTTTGCTATTTCAGTTACAAGTATCTTAAGAACCAACTATTACTCTTTTGTCCAAAAGTGAGTAATTATCCTGATAACTGAAATCTTGATAACCAAGGGCTTTATCATTTACAGATTTTTTTTTAAACACTATTTTATTTGACTACACTTTGAGGCTTTTTCAGATGCTGGTTAGCCCCATTTTCCAGAAGTAAGAACTGAAGCATAGTCTGTAAAATGACTTGCCTAAGATCACACATCTGTTTTATCTACAGAGCCAGGAGCATGATGCTCTATTAGCTATTTCCCTACACTTTCCTTTACATCTGGAGTTAAAACAAGGAATGAATGGATCAACATTTACACAAAGTTTCAAGAACTGTCTTTTCCACATAGGTAGCAATATTCAAATGCATGTGGAGAAGAATAAAAATTTATTGAGTGTGGCAAATCTAAAACTGCCATATAAATTTAGGTATATTTTCAAAAGTACCCTTGAAAATCCTCATGTCTCCCATAGTTTTACATATATAACCCAAAGTAGTGCACACTAAAATTTGAGAATCAATGTCTTAAACCTATGAAAGACACAAAAGGATGTATATTTACATGTCAGGGTATTAAAACAATGCTGCCTTTAAGGTAACTATGAAAACATTGGTGGGGGCACCTGGGTGGCTCAGTTGAGCATCTGCTTTTGGCTCAGGTCATGATCCCAAGGGAATAAATTCTAAAATCAGTACAAGTTAAATATATTTATGATATGGCTCTACTTAACTGCTATGACCATGTATATGTATAAACTTTCTCCATCAGTGAATACTAAAAGTACCATTTCTACTGTGCGTAAGTCAGTAAAACCTTGTCTTAAGAAAGAAGGCAAAATGTTGATAGTTCTCCCATTAAAGTACAATGCCAATTCAGGAGCGGGTGAAGGAAGAAAAACTGTCAGTAAAAATGACATTCAGAAAGACAGGAAGAAAACCCCTACTCTAATACTGTTGAAAAGCAAGTGATGTATAGAAATCATGAAAAAGGGAACTGAAAAGAAAGGGTTGGATGTGCCACTGGTGACCTCCAATAACAATTCCATAAAATGAGTTGCTCTGAATTTGGCTGGGTGGAAATTCTGAAAAACTGAAGTGTTGTCAACTTTCATGGATAAGTAACTGTAGCGCAGACATGCTAAGGATAAGGTTTTTTGTATTTTAAGCAGTTCAGGAAGGCTCAAAAATGATGGATTAACCACAAGTTTATGAAACTTCAGTCTCCCAAACAGAAAGATAAACGAGTAGGAATGCAACATAAGTGCTGAAATCAAGGGATTGCACTGGATCCAGACAGAAAACTGAGTACTTTATGAAACTATTTTATGAAAGCAGATAGTATAAGAACACACACATACACACACACTGCAGATCAATCCACAATAAGGCAAGAAGAAGAAATGTAGAAATTTTGACAAGTTGTAGAAAGTAAAAACAAATCTTTAGGGAGAACCATAGCCCAAGACACATGCTAGAGATAAATACTGCAAGGAAAAAGCTGAGATGTGGAAGACAATTTGTAAAGTTCAAGAGATTGAAAAAGAATTCCAGAAATTCCATTCCTCCAGAGAAAATGGAGGAAAAAAAGAAATAATAAAGACAGCTATGCGTTATTTCAAAATCAGATGTAAAACAAGATGCAGGAAAGTTGAAAAAAAGGAGTATCAAGTACTAATAAAAAGGGTAGCAAAAAAAAAAAAGGTAGCAAAATTAAGATCAAACAGAATTCAAGCAAAGTATTGAAGGGGAAACATTTTATACTGTTCTAATGGTACAATCCTTCAAGACTATGTATCAGTCATAGAACATCACAACTTTGACATATATTAAGTAAAAACCAATACAAAGAAAAATGGACATATTCAAAATATTTATGGGAGACATCAACAAAACTCTCTCTAAAATCAATAGGTTTGCCAGACAATAAATATAAAAGTTTATCAGCGTTGGTTGAAAATCACCTGCGGCCCTGCCCGTGGCGCCCAGAGCCCCCGGGGCCTCAGCTCACCGCCCCCTGGTGCGTGTGGGGAGGTGAAACCCGCCCCGACAGCGCCCCGCCGCCCAGGCCGCAGGTGCTCTGGCCCCTGATCCCTAACCTCGGACTCCCGAGCCCGTGGCGGGAGGGGCCTCTGCCCCGCACGCCCCCTGGGGCAGTTGGCCTGAGTGGGCGCGGGTGGGTGCGCGCGGCTGGCCCTCCCCTGCCTGGAGCCGTCCGCACGGCCTCCTGCCGCGCCCCCCAGCTCCGCCAGACGGGTTCCCGCGGGTCGGCCGGCCCAGGTCCCACACCGCACAGCTTCCACAGTAGCAGGTGAGGTACCTTTGGGCTTGAGGGGACTTGGGCGGGGCCACCGAGCCACCGCAGGTGCGAAGGTGAAGGCGGGCGGCCTCCAAGAGGAGCCCCGCGGTTCAACCTCAGTTACCGACCCGACGGGTAAGGATCTGCGACTTCCTCGGGCAACTCCGCCCGTGAGAAGCCGCCCTCACCCTCAACTCTCGCTCAGAAAAATCCCTCCCGACTTTATTCACGAAATAAAATTCCTTTCCTTAGTTTACTGGGCTTGCTTACGGTTTTGCCATAGCATGCATGTCCTGAATTGCAATTGTGTTATTCCCAAATAAACCTATTTTTGCCAGTGGGGAAAAAAAAAAGATATCAAGGTTTAAATAATCCAATAAACAAGCTCAATCTAAAACACACATTCATATACAGAATTTGGTACCTAAAATACTGTGGACAAACCTTTTCAGACACTTAAAACACACAGAGAAAAATTTCTCAACATAGACCAAGAAGTAAAAGCACACAAATGACGTTCCTAGCCCACATTTAAAATGAAAATTAATCACAAACAGCAAAATAAAAACACCCCTCCCCACCTTCAAACCTGTTCAGAAGTTTTTAAAAGTCCTCTGGGAGAAAATTAAAAAAACACCTAGCTTAAGCATCACAACTAAAATTATAAGCTGTTTAGAATGGAATGATAGGGGAGCACTACAAAAAAAAATCCCTTGGAATATAATCAAGCAGTACTTAGAAATGTCTACATTAGAAAACAGAAAGACTAAAGGTAAACGAAGAAAGTATAAAAACCAAGAGATGAAAAGAATAAATTCAAGTATAGTTGAAAGAAGAAATGAAGATCATTGTAGAAATTACAAAGGTAACAAGCAACAACAAAAAATGCTCCATCGGCAAAACTGAAAGCTGGTTCTTAGAAAATTTCAAAGAAATCCAGTGACAGAGGAAAAATAAGAGATGCCAAAGATTATTGAGTCAATAAAACAAATACATAGAGCTGCTGCCAAGATTTATAAAATAAAGTAGCCTGTGTAAAACTTCTACCAATAAATTTTAAAATCCAGACATTCACAATTTCCAAAGAAAATATGTTACTACAACTTCACTTCAGGAACAAGTGAAAAACTTGTATTAAATATTGTATTAAATAACCATAAAAAATTAAAAAAAAATAAATAACCATAAAGAGGCTAAAAAGATAGTAAGAGTTTCATCTCCTAAAAGAGGTTTGTTTTGGACTAGGCCCCAAAGGGCTCAGGGTAAAGGAGTAAAGGTAGATTAAACTAGTGTTCTTATCTACCAGCAACAAACTGTTAGAAAAAGCAATTTTAAGGAAAGATATAATTTGTGTGACTATTAAGTACAACTTTACTGACAGATAGAAAAGATAGATAGACATCAATCACCTGACTGTATTTATGGATGGGAAGATTCAGTACCAAAATGATGGTCATTCTCTCCAAAAACATTTTTGTAATTCAATGCAACTTGAATAAAAATCCTAATGACTTTTCCCAGAATTTACCAACCTGATTTTAAAATTCATGTGGACATGTGAGAAGCAAAAGCCAAGAGAATTTTAAAGAGTATTAATGAGAGATGCCTTAGTAATATGGAAATATAATGGTTATTGGAGTACATTCATAAACTAATGGGACAAAAAAGGTAGCCTAAAAACATAAATATTTTAAAGATAAATACAGTTTTTAATACACTGTCACTATATAAAGGCACTTGGTATGTGACAGGGCATTTAAGTAAAAGGAGAAAGAATCAACTCTTTAGTAATAGTGCTGAGGTGAATGGCTATGCATTTGTAAAAAATAAGACCCCTCACAGCATACACAAAGTTAATTTCAAGTGGATACAAGTCTAAAAATGGAAAGCAAAAGCTCTTATGCATCTCTGCTGGGAATATAAAGTAATACAGCTACTTTGGAACATAATTTGACAATATCTAAAAATAGCATATCTGTATTCATTGAATTCAGCATTTCCATTCAGAATGGTTGTTTTTATGAGACAGGGAAGATGTTTGTTCACTTTGGCACTGGTTTGTAATAGTGAAGGTGCAAAATATTTGATTATCAACAAGATAAATAACTGTTTTATAATGATTTTTTTAATAATGGATTAACTGTGGTATATTCAAATAATAGAATGCTTTACAAAAGCAATTAAGAGGAATTAACTACAGGACTTAATCAAATCTTAGATGACATCAATTTTAAGGTACATCATTATTTTGTCATTAAGAAATGCTGCCAATTTTAAGACATTACTGATTTAAGAAGCATACAATTTCAGAGATTATATTGTGAAAAAAATGGAAAGATCAACAGGTATCGATGTGGCTATATACTGGGTGAAAAATAGCAGGTTTCAAAATTATAGATATGATGGACTTTTTTCGTCGAATATTTAAAAATACATGAAATAGTCTTGTGTATTTTTAAAATATATATATATGCATAAAATGATGAAAACAATGATGGGAAAGATACACACTAATATCAGGATAGTTACCTCTTCATAAAAAAGAAGGTTATAAGCTTTAGCCATACCTTTTAATATCTTATTTCTTATTAAATAAAAGCAAAAGAAGGATGCAGCTTTTGCATAGCACATATACCGAAAGTGAGCATATCCTCCCATGAAGGGACATATGTAAATTCAATCACTTCACAGCATCTGTGACATAATTATGGAATGTTTATTCTTAAAATACAATAAAGAAACATTGCAACATCAATTGGTAAACATCCCTGAGAGATTTTGCTGCTCACTCACAGGGAGAGGAGAGAGAGAACATGTGTATGTATTGGGGGAGGAAGGAGAGTTCAAACTGAAAAAAATAAAGTGTTCACATCTTTTAAACTTGGAGAATGAGATCATGAGGGTCTACTGTATTATTTTCTGGATGTCTGAAATATTTTTAACTTGGAAACTTTTAAAAATAAAGTTTAAAAAGGCACCATGTACAATTTAAATGTAAGCTCTATCAAAAATAACTCTACATTATATAAATTGTTTCATAGAAAAATACAGTCAGCTTTTCTAATTCTAGAAGGCTAACAAAACCCCTTATCCAATACTCAAATAAGGATAACATAGCAAAGGAAATTATACACCAACCTTGCTGCTCAACATGTACATAAGGATATTAAGTAAAATGTTAGCACACTTGTAGCACGACCAAGCCAAGCTGGTTAATCCTACCAAAGCAAGGATGATTGTATACATAATTTATTACATTAATAATTATATTTTTTAAAAACAAACTGTTATGCAAACATGGAATTGAACACACACTCCAAATTTTATTTAATAACCCCGATTAAACAGAAATAGAAACTGTCTTAAACTGGAAAAAGGCAGGATGCTTTCTATTTAACAATGCTCTAGAGGTGCCAATCAATACAATTAGACCAGAAAAACATGATATGTAAGTATTAGAACGATTTGAAATAATATTGACAAAACTACTTGGAGCGAGTGTTATCTACTAAATCCAAGAGAATTAACTGCAAACTGTTAAAGCCAATAGAACTTCAGCAAAGTGGCTGAAAGCAACACAGCAAGCATAACCAGTTAGAAAATAAAAGAACAACAATGTTTGAATGATATTAAAGTTTGAATTTTTTAAAAGATGCAAAGCGGATTCTTATGAAGAAAATAATAAAATTGTATTGAAGGGATGGCTGTTTAAAACCTATCTCAGTGGGCAGCCTCAGTATTATTGTAAAGATGTTGGTATTTTGAATAAGAGAAAACAAGAACAGCCAGGAATAATAAGGTATGTTAGAAAGAAAACGGGAAATTTTCAGACCAAATATAAAAACATGTTACACAGGTAAAGTAATTACATAGATGTTAGCTAAAGGCATGGACAAAGAGACCCAGGTAGATAAAGAGACTTGGTTCATGCTACTTGTGGCATCCCAAACGAGGAGAGAGGAGAAACTATACAATAAATTAAGAAAAGTAACTATGGGGGATCCCTGGGTGGCTCAGCGGTTTAGCGCCTGCCTTTGGCCCAGGGTGTGATCCTGGAGTCCCAGGGATCGAGTCCCACATCAGGCTCCCTGCATGGAGCCTGCTTCTCCCTCTGCCTGTGTCTCTGTCTCTGCCTCTCTCTCTCTCTCTGTGTCTCTCATGAATAAATAAATAAAATCTTAAAAAAAAAAAACTATGCACTGAAGAAAAAATTAAGTCACACCATAATCATACATATTATACAAAAATAGTCCCCAGATGGATTAAATGATGGAAAAAAACCCAACAACTATGTATTAGAAGAAAACAGGGAAGTATTTTCAAAATCTTGTAGTAAGCACAAAACCCATAATGAAAAATACCCACAGATTTGAGCTTACAAAGGGGAAACACTTCTATTAAAGGACAGAAAATACCTTTTTAAAAAGCTTAAAGTGACCCACTAAAGGTATCCTCCACATATTTAATAAGAGAATAATGTGAGAATAAGATGGTAAGCCCACTTTTAGCACATACAGCAGTCCCTGTGTATCCACAATGGGGTACATCTAAGACCCCCAGAGGATGCCTGATGTGGATAGGACGGAACCCTAGATATACACTATGCTTTCCCCCTAATGCATACATACCTATAGCATAATTTAATTTACAGATTAAGCATTTTAAGAGATTAACAACTACTAATGAACAATTGTAACAATGTATTGTAATAAAAATTATGTGAATGTGGTCTCTCTCAAAATATTGAACTGGATTC